AAGTACTCAAAACCGTAGGCGGCACAGAAAAAAAATTCTTTAAGCTCTTCTGAGCACATCTAGACTTCGACACTGTATACCCGTGCAAAGAAGGCATGAAATAGCTAGTTCCTTTAGAAAATCACAATAATGTTTTTGTTCTTACAACTAGGCAAACACAAAAACTAAAAAGATTACAACCATTACTGAAAGTGAAAGTGTAACGACCGACCGCACAAATAACTCAAAACGCTAGGGCGACCAAGAAATAAAGATGCTTCCAGCTTTTCTAAACAGATCTAGACTTGGACAGTGCATAGTCGTGCAAAGAAGGCATGAAATAGCTAGTTCCTTTGGAAAAATACAATAGTGCGTTTGTTCTTACAACGAGACATGCACAAAAACGAATAGATTATAGCCATAACTGAGAGTGTAACGACCGACAGCCTAAATTACTCAAAACTGTAGGGCTACAAAAAAAATCAAAATGTCTCAAGTTTTTCTGATCTCAGGTAGACTTGGACAGCTTATAGGCCTACTTATACAAAGAGGCATGAAATAGCTAGCTCTTGTGGAAAAATACAATAATGTGTTTGTTCGTACAACTTTACATGCACAAACACTAATAGATTATAGCCTTAACTGTAAGTGTAACTGTAACGACCGAGCGCATAAATTACTCAAAACTGTAGGAGGTTTAAGAAACAAACACGCTTTCAGCATTTCTAATCACATCTATGCTAAGATAGAGTTTAGTCATGGAAATAAACCGTAAAAAAGCTATCTCCTGTGGTAAAACATAAAAGTGTTATCATACTGTTAAGGTTGTTTCAACTAGGCATACCTGTCCCCGTCGTTTTATGCAAGAAAAATTCTGAAATTATGCGATTCTGTTAATTTTAACAAATAATGATAAAGATGAATAATAAGAAATTATGCAAAAAAATTATCAAATTTAGCAAAATAATGCGAGATGCATAAAACCACGGGGACAGGCATACACAAAATCTAATACATTATAACATACCACTACGGTACTGAAAGCGTAACTAACTGCGACACCCAAAAAGGTATAAGTATAAGCGGCGGATAAAAGTATGTAAGACTGAAAGTGTAAAGACCGACCGCCCAAAGTACTCAATACCGTAGGTCAAAAAAATAAAGAATGGTTACACAATCTCTCTTTTTTTGTGGTATTGCCTGTCTGTTTTGTCTTTAGTTTCAGATTAGAAATGGTCGTGAAATCGCTTTATTCCGTGTGTGCGGGAGAGAGAGAGAGAGAGAGAGAGAGAGAGAGAGAGAGAGAGAGAGAGAGAGAGAGAGAGAGAGAGAGAGAGAGAGAGAGAGAGAGAGAGAGAGAGAGAGAGGAATGGTATTTAACCTAGACGGTCGTTAATCAGGCCACCTGCGCGCTACTGACCTAGATTCCGTGTGGGCTGACACACCCGTGTAGTAGGCCCACAACCTTGTAGATCATTAGTAGTGATAAGCCTACGCAGGGTGCGGCGGTCAGTTTGAATTGTTGTTTGCTCATGCTTTGACACTGGATTATTTCTGCCTAATGCAGTTTGCTTTTCAAGTCATCTGGATTATGTGAATATTTTCTACATCATTGTGTGTGTTGAGGAACACAAGTGGTGACTAATTAATTAATTAATTAAGACTGACCATCAGTTTTGAGATCGCAAATTTGAAGTGCTGTTTGGCTGCACTGTAGGCCTACTGTTCATTTTCAGATTCTTCATCGCCATCGTACTCACTGAATGCCTGGATTCATTTAGTTGAGGCCTAAGCAGGTTTTTTTCCTTCAAATCATCTGGAATGTGTGAATATCAAATATCTCTTCCATCAGTGTACGTGTTTAGATTAAACCTACAGTGAAGTTTTGACCGTGCAAGTTTAATTCATATCTGTCTAAAATCCATGTCTACACAGTGGAGGCCCCCCTCCTGATCCGCACACTCTTCACTGACTTAGAGCATCTCTATGCAAACAACCACTAAAAACGAACTCTCCATCCTATCCCTAGATCTACTTTTAGATTTAGATTAGTTTGTAACACAAACAATAGACTAAAAGGACCATGTAGATATAAATCTATATATCTAGACTCTGAGCGTCTAGGGGCCCACCCTTGTTAGGTAGGGAAAAGTATACGGATCATAATTAGGGGGGAGCTCCTTTGTGTTTTTCCCGACCTGCTTTGTATATTAATATCTGCTGTTCTTTCACAGTGCTTACATGTTTCTCTTCTAGGCCTATTTCTTGCTTTCATCATGTGTGGTTATGACTCTGTTGGACTGTGACTGACACCTTCAAAATAAACTGAAGGAATAAGAACAACAATGGGAAGAAAATGCTCAGTTGGTGGATGCAAAACTGGCTATGACAGTCAGAAAGGTGCAGAAAAAGTGACCTTGTATGGATTTCCTTCGGATGAAACAGAATGTCGGGCATGGACTGCTAGCTTACCAAACATTTTATCCCATGAAAAGGTGTCAAAACATATCAGTGTGTGCCCTCCATTTCCGTAAAACTCTTCAACTTTCTGTTTTTCCATCGCTTTTGTCTGTCTAGAATAATTTTTTACATGTCCGTTAGTTTGAACACAAACAGAGGGAAGCAATACCATTGAGAGAGAGAGAGAGAGAGAGAGAGAGAGAGAGAGAGAGAGAGAGAGAGAGAGAGAGAGAAAGAGAGAGAGGGGGGAGAGAGAGAGAGAGGGGGGGAGAGATTGAGAGGGAGAGAGAGAGAGAGAGAGAGAGAGAGAGAGAGAAGGGAGAGATTGAGAGGGGGAGAGAGAGAGAGAGAGAGAGAGAGAGAGAGAGAGAGAGAGAGAGAGAGAGAGAGAGAGAGAGAGAGAAAGAGAGAGAGAAGGGGAGAGGGAGAAAGAGACCGCCTAGCCGTGGCCGTTGTAATCATTATTATCATTACGAAGGTCACTGCTTGCTGTGGGCCGAAGCCTGAGCGGCCGGTGTGCCAGCCCACAAGCAAGGCGTGTAGTTCTTGGGCTGCGCTGTCTGATTTATGATCGCCTAGTATTTAACACATCAACTTTAAAAAAATATATTTTTAAGTTAAGCCACCATCCAGAATACCTTAGCTAGGACGTCGGCGCTTCCATAAATAGACTTACCTTTTTTTGTTTCGCTCTCTGTAGAGACAAGAACAAACGTGCTAGAGTTGTTTCTTATGACAGTGTCGGGCGCCATTGGTGCAAGCGCTCCGCGATTTTACACCAAAGTAGCCTAATTTTGTCACTGTAGAGAAACCTTGGCATCGTTCTTTCCGCACAAGAAGAAAGGTGCATGAAACTGCTCTTCGCAGCACTAATTTGGTGCAAGCTAAAAATTTGATCTAAGTTTCCACTAGCCTATCCAGTTTGATAGGAAAGAAGAAGCATCCACTCTGGTCTATTTTTGGTGACCAACTATAAAAACCACCATGTTTTGAATGCATGTTTTTTTAGTTTTCATAATTCTATTACGGCACTTGCATCATAATAAGGTAATATAGGTGTGCCGAAGAATAGATATAATGTTACAAGAGAGTAACATACACAAAAAAGATGGAGGAGAGAAAAGGACGATAGAGGTTTGATAGGAAAGACAGAAAACCACACCAGAGCACTCGCCAACCACCCACATTGAACATTAATAGATTGCATTTACATAGACTATAGTGATCGATCCCATACCAGCACAAGCTCTGATTACATTGGCGTGACACATTGCAGAGTAAAAGAAATTTTCAAGCTGATTTTTCCTTTTTTGGGTCACGACAGACTGGGAGGGTTAAGACCAACGACTGGTACTTTTTCATGAACTACATACATCAAATGAACAATGCAGTATGCAGCCTACCCGTGGATAACTAAACATTACTGCTGATGACAGCCTCATCTCTGTGGGTTTCAGATGCTGAATGAAGAATTTGCAATTGCCCTTTGATTTATTTACAAATCCACCACACAGCTACATGTACCACAAACACCAGCTAAGTCACAAATGTTTTATTTTAGTTTTAGTAGAGGTATTACGGCGCTCGCAACTCCACAAGGTCATATGAGCGCCAGAAGATTAGACGTGTTACAAGAGAGTAACAAATATTGAAAAGAAGGGGAGATTTATAAGGACGATAGATGTGTGGTAGGAAAGAAGGAGCAAACCACACCAGAGCACCCGCCAACCACCCACTAACAAATGTTTGATATTCAGGGCCCAACCAAACTGAGCAGGGGCTGGCACCCAAACACAAAGACGGAGAGACTTTGTACTCCCAGTGTGTGGGCTGATTGAGAGCAAAGAGAGGACTTAATTAACCGACACCACAGTCAAAAGGTGATTAAATTCTAGTAAGTTTTACGGCACTTGCAACAGAGTAAGGTCACATAAGTGCCGAAGATTAGAGGTGTTACAAGAGAGTAACAAACATAAAAAAGGAGAAGAGATTAGGACGATAGTAGATGTGTGTGATAGGAAAGAAGGAGCAAACCACACCAGAGCACCCCTCAACCACCCACAAAAGGTGATTAACAATAAACATGCTGGTCTCCCCAATCTTATTCTTCTACACAACCCTTTCAATGCAGGCACCAACAAATGTCTTAAGACCAGTCAAAGAATATATTTACAGAAGAATTAACTTGAAATGAACAAAGTAGTTGGTTACAAGCCCCTGTGCTGATTAACTTGTCGGCAAAGGACTGTCATGACCTTCCCCAAGACGACAAAAACAAACGCACACCAGAAGGTCTTAGGCAACTGCTGCCTTGCCCCTGTTTTTTTGTTTAAGTGACAGTTTTACAGCGTTTGCAACACATTAAGGTCATATATAAGTGCTGAAGATCACAGGCATTTCAACTAAGACACTTGACAAACAACTTTTTTAAAAAGATGTTTGATGGGAAGGAGGAAGGAGCAAACCACACCAGAGCACACGCCAACCAAAAACCCACCCTTGCTAATCTCAGTAATGAGTATGACAAAGTCATTCTACAATGAAGGGAACAACTCATGGAGTTTTTTAATTAATCATTTATTGACAGTTTAGAAGACCATCTTGTGGGGGAACTGGTTGTTAGAGAGAGAGAACAAGGCTCCGAGGTAGCCAAACAACAATTTCTTCTCTGGCAGTTTGCGGATGACATCCAGGACTTGACGATCCACGGCTGTCTGGTCCTCTTTGCGCTCATCACTCACAGAGTAAACCTGAAACCAAGCAAAGCATATTTAATTTTCATAAGGGCTTTACGGCACTTGCAACACAATAGGTCATGTAAGTGCCGAAGATTAGAGGTGTAACAAGGGAGTAACAAATACAAAAAAGGAGGGGAGATAAAGACGATGATTGTTTCATGTTTGATAGGAAAGAAGAAGCAAACCACACCAGAGCACCCGCCAACCACCCACACACATTATTTCGTATGCACAGATGACATCAAAATCAAAGAGGAGCCCTCATTTTCTCAGCTAATAACAACAACGAACACATTATTTATACCATGGACGGGGTAGCCTATCACGATTCCCGCATCTTCAACCCAATTCTAGCAGAATGGTCACAACAGGCATTAAAAACAACCCTCCAAAAGGTTGAATCACATGGCTGGTTGTTACAAACAAAATGTCACAAATAATTTTGTAGGGTGCCTGTGTGAATGGGCGGTGAGCGGAAGAAGACACTCAACAGCCCACTTTGATTTCACACCTTAACAAAAAAAAACAACAACCCCACCAAACAAACAAGTCATTATCATACAAAGACATTACAAGCCACCTGTATAGACAGGCTTGCTAAAGAAGACCAACAGGACTTAAATATAAATGTACAACAGAGATTTGCCTTCTGACGTGGCCATCAGTAGACCACAAAGCTAAAACCCTGTAGACAATAATGTCGCACACACTTTCCCCCGAGCTGCTGCACTGTCAGAACAGAGACCGGTCTACTGGTGTGCCAAACATGATGAAAACCGAAATTCCACAACCCAAAAGACACTTGAAAAATAAATCCCAGACATGGATGTTGACAACATTGTCCAAGAGAAAAGTGGCTGTTTTGGCCAGTGAATTAACAATGCAGAAACCAATGTCTACGAAATCAAAATCAAGCTAGTCACATAAACGTACAGAAACCTGTCAAGGACCATGTAACTCAAAACCTGCACTAAATAATGTAAAGTCAGAGAGACTCAAGATGGAAAGCCTTTTCACCCCCCCCCCCCTCACCCAGAGAACGCATCACCAGCGCATGAGTGGGAGGGGACAAATTCAAACCAGCACTTAAAACACATTTGTTTCTGGCCAGCTTAAATGTAACATATATTTCGAAAACATATGCTTTGCTACCTTCATGCTGCACTGTAACAAAAGGTTGTGTTGTAATAATAATAATAATAGATAGCATTTTTATAGTGCATATCCCCGCTCAACAGCAGGCTCTATGCGCTTTACACTATATTTATTACCCCAGCAGACTATATAACACTCCGAAACATTCTCAGCTTCCCGGGAAGCATACAGTGCAAGCAGCTGATTAAGCGCTCAAACACTAACGAACTGACAAGATCTGTCGCTGTCTATAGCCGGGTACCCATTCCCACTTGGGTGAAGTGAGGAAAATTCGTGTAAAGTGCCTTTCCCAAGGACACAACGCCGGGTCCCTGACGGGATTCGAACCCACGACCTTACGGTTGCGAGTCCGAGAGCCTAACCACTAGGCCACCGACGCCACAATGTGTACATATGCCAGAGTACAATTTTTTTTTTTGGGGTGGAGAGAGAGATGGAAAGGGGAGGAGAGAAAGAAAGGGTAAAAACTATTTGCAATAAATGTACAACAGAGATTTGCCTCCTGACGTGGCCATCAGTAGACCACAAAGCAAAAACCCTGTAGACAATAATGTCGCACACACTTTCCCCCGAGCTGCTGCACTGTCAGAACAGAGACCGGTCTACTGGTGTGCTTTACATACAGAAACAGTTTAGTTTGTTTAGTTGTAGTAGAGGATTTACGGCGCTCGCAACTGTATAAGGTCACATGAGCGCCAGAAGATTAAGAGGTGTTACAAGTCAGTAACAAACATAAAAAAGAAGGGGAGATAAAGACGATAGATGTTTGATAGGAAAGAAGAAGCAAACCACACTAGAGCACCTGCCAGCCACCCACATACATACACAGAAACTCCAGAACCCAGAGGACACTAGAAAAATAAAAAGCATATTAGATAACACTTTTCACATTGCTGCTTATAGCTTACAAAGCCAATGCAAAAGAGACGGACGGCATCCTCCGACAGAGCGACCCAATATCAATAACCCAGACAGTAAAACGAACCTCTTTCTTGGTGTTGAAAATATCCCCCTCAGTGTGCTTGGGCTTCCTCAGCTTCTGCCTGCGGAAATATTCATCATTGACGCGGTCTGGCACTTTGACGCCCTTGATGTCCAACTTGGTCTTGGTGGCAATGACGTACTTCTGGTTGATACGCCTCAGGGGGCAGCCGTTCAAGTGATAGGGGCCTGCACCAAAGAAAACAGATATATGATTCACATCCAGAAAGACAGCATACACTTCAACTCCACCAATCAGTGGAGAGAGAGAGAGAGAGAGAGAGAGAGAGAGAGAGAGAGAGAGAGAGAGAGAGAGAGAGAGAGAGAGAGAGAGAGAGAGAGAGAGAGAGAGACACACGTTATCGTACACAATAGCACAGGAAACAAAACCATCCTCATATCCCTAAAATTAAGTGTCTCCTCTACAGTGTTTATACCGTGCTCTTGAAGCAAAAGTCAAACACACAAAGGATGATATTCTTGCACCGGCTACCAAGTGACACAACAAGGAATTGTGTACCTGTTACTAAAGTGCTTCACGAAAAAGGCAAAGAACTATACATCAAGCTGTAGTGGGCAACTCAACACTCACAAAGGCAAAATAGATCTATGAAGTTTAGAATAAGAGAAAACCATATAAAAAATAATAGACCAAGCAATCATAGAGGAGACCTATCCTGACCTGTACAGTACGGTAAGTCATCAGTCTATAGACCAAACAGACAAGCCACTAAAGCGAGACAGAGCAATTTTTTTTTAATAACCTGAAATTTTTACGTCCCCACTGACACAATTGATAAATCAGAAGGTTGGCCGTTTCAACTCCGCCAGTCATGTTAAGCCTGGCTGCATCCCAGCATAAATAAAGACAGACAAAATCAAAGAAAAGCTGTCATAGTTCATAACAGCACCAGAAAGAAATCTTTCCAACATCTCTTAATGAAGCAATTTTCAAAGACCCAATAGTTCACCCACCCCCTCCCCAATAACATCTGTATCTGCCAGCAAAGACCAATCTGAGATTCAGTAAACCACCATCAAGACAAGATACTTCACTTTAAAAAAAAAAAAAAAAAATTTTTTAAATGCAATGTTCACAACAGAAACATCTTACTCCCTCTAGATAAAAATTGTCTCCTCTGTGATATTTGAAGAGTGCACATAAGGCAAAAGTCAAACACACAAAGGATGATATTCTTGCACCGGCTACCAAGTGACACAACAAGGAATTGTATACCTGTTACTAAAGTGCTTCACGAAAAAGGCAATGAATTTTTAATGAACCAAACTGTAGTGGGCAACTTTACACCCACAATGGCAAAATAAATAGATGAAGTTTCGAATAAGAGATTAGGAAATGACACATCAGACACAAAAATAGAGGGGACATACCCCGACTTTCATAAAGTAAGTAATCTAAGTCTACAGACCAAACAGATAAGCCACTAAAGAGATACAGAAATTTTAAAATATAACCCGATTCATACATTTTTTACATCCCCACTGTCACAACTGATAAACTAGAAGGATGGCTGCTTCAATTCTGCCTGTCAAAAGTTAAGCCTGGCTGCATCCCAGCATAAAGAAAGACAAAATCAAAGGAAATCTGTCACAGTCCGTAAATATACCACAAACAAATCTTTGTAACATCTCTGAATGAGGAAAACGTATCATACGGGACAAGTAAAGCAATTTTCAAAGACCCAATAGTTCACCCCCCCATCCCCAATAACAGACTGCTCTGTACTGCCAGCGAAGATCAATCTGAGACTCCGTACACCATCATGAAGACAAGATATCTCACTTGTTCACAACAGAGACATCTTACTCCCTCTAGACAAATTGTCTCCCCTGTGATATTTGAAGAGTGCACATAAGGCAAACGTCAAACACACAAAGGATGATATTCTTGCACCGGCTACCAAGTGACACAACAAGGAATTGTATACCTGTTACTAAAGTGCTTCACGAAAAAGGCAATGAACTTTTAATGAACCAAACTGTAGTGGGGAAACTTTACACCCACAATGGTAAAATAAATAGATGAAGTTTCTAATAAGAGATTAAGAAATGACAGATCAGACACAAAAACAGAGGAGACATATCCTGTCCTTCGTAAAGTAAGTCATTTAAGTCTACAGACAAGCTACTAAAGCGATACAGAGAGAAATTTTAAAATACAACGCGACTAATACAATTTTACACCCCCACTGTCACAACTGATAAACTAGAAGGATGGCTGCTTCAACTCTGCCTGTCAAGAGTTAGGCCTGGCTGCATCCCAGCATAAAGAAAGACAAAATCAAAGGAAATCTGTCACAGTCCGTAAATATACCACAAACAAATCTTTGTAACATCTCTGAATGAGGAAAACGTATCATATGGGACAAGTAAAGCAATTTTCAAAGACCCAATAGTTCACCCCCCCATCCCCAATAACAGACTGCTCTGTACTGCCAGCGAAGATCAATCTGAGACTCCGTACACCATCATGAAGACAAGATATCTCACTTGTTCACAACAGAGACATCTTACTCCCTCTAGACTATAAGTGTCTCCCCTGTGGTATTTGAAGAGTGCACATAAAGCAAACGTCAAACACACAAAGGATGATATTCTTGCACCGGCTACCAAGTGACACAACAAGGAACTGTGTACCTGTTACTAAAGTGCTTCACGAAAAAGGCAATGAACTTTAAATAAATCCAACTGTAACGGGCAATTCGACACTCACAATGGCAAAATCGTTTAAAGAAGTTCAGACAAAGATATTAAGAAATAACAGATCAGACACAAAAATAGAGGAGACATATCCTGACTTTCGTAAAGTAAGTCATCTAAGTACAGACCAAACAGACAAGCCACTAAAGGGATTTTTATAGAGAGAAAAATTTTATAATATAACCTGACTATAATAAACTTTTTACATCCCACTGTCACAACTGATAAACTAGAAGGATGGCTGCTTCAACTCTGCCTGTCAAGAGTTAAGCCTGGCTGCATCCCAGCATAAAGAAAGACAAAATCAAAGGAAATCTGTCAGTCCGTAACAATACCACAAACAAATCTTTCTAACATCTTTGAATGAGGAAAACTTCATCTGGGACAGGCAAAGCAATGTTCAAAGACCCAATAGTTCACACCCCCCCCCCCCTCCCCAATAACAGACTACTCTGTATCTCCCAGCAAAGACCAATCTGAGATTCAGTAAACCACCATGAAGACAAGATATCTCTCTTTAAAAATTGTCTCCTCTGGTGTTTGAAGAGTGCACATATAAGGCAAACGTCAAACACACAAAGGATGATATTCTTGCACCGGCTACCAAGTGACACAACAAGGAACTGTGTACCTGTTACTAAAGTGCTTCAATAAAAATAAGATTTATGTATAAATAACCTGCTTAGTGAGAGCCTTCAGCAAAACACTAGTTGTTAGTTTTCAATGCGAACAATACTAGGGTATAAATATCTACAAGTTGAGTACAACAGATGGGAACCAATGTGGAATTTTAAAGAAATTTAAAATGAGGGCTGTTTTATTGGAGTACTAGAAACTTGAAAGAAAGTGCACAATTTAACAAACTTTAAACTCAGCTAGGAAATATTCCACACTGTATAGACAATCCTATTCACATACATGGACAAACCCTCACCACAAAAAACAAAAAACCTAAGTACATCTCTTGAGCATGGTCACATTGAAATAGGAATGTAATGTTTGCTGGCAAAGCCCACACAAATGTCAAATCAGAACTTACCAGTGACCAAGAGCAAACCAGAGTTGAGCTGCCTGAGGAAGACGACTCTCTGAAAAAAAACCCAACCCCAAACAAACATGAGCATAGTTGTTTCAAATGTGGAATTCCATGCCAATATAAACAATGACCTTCGAGCTAATTTTTCATGTTGACTTTCTGTAAACCTAATCAAACTCCCTGTTTTGAGGTAAAATTAGTACGAAAATGGCCCCCAACTGTTGGTGACTTCCATAACTTGAGGTCTTTAAAAAGCCAAATTTACATTTTTTGTGTAACACCCAACACTGAAATGTGTTTTTAAAAGGGAACAAAAAGTTTGTTGGACCCCCCCCCCCTCATCCAATAACAATTGCTCAACCAGTAGAAAATTGCCAGTTTCTTTATTATTTTGATGAACGCCCAATTTTACAAGGTTGTCTCACATTTTTTTTGCATTTAATTTTGAAACACATTGCAAATCAGGTAGCTTTGACACATTATCAACATGGCTGCAGAACAGGTCCCAAATTGACAGAAACATACAGCTCTCTAAAGACACCCAACAACTGCAAGTTTCACACTATGCAATAAACACACAACAAACTCTTGCACTGAAGAATAAAACTTGAAGTGGTGAAAAGTATTTGGATGCCATATATTTTTCCTCAAGTAAGAGATAGGAAACGACCCAGAGAAGTTAAGCCAAAAAAAGAAATCCCCACCTTTCCCTTATGTCTGCCAGCTAAAAGGATGAGGACGGTTCCTGGGGTAATGGATGCCCTCAGTCTCCTCTTATGTTGGCTGAATGATTTCTGGTAGTTCTTTAGCTTTCTTGGTTTATCCTCAGTGGGATAGAAGCGAGGCTGGAGAAAAAACAACAACAAAGCAATTCAAAAGTCTACACAAAAAGAAATTTAGATTGCAGGCAATGTTAATCACAACCCTTGCCTCCTTAATACTTTAGAAACACCCTGACACACATCAAATACTGACATAAAAAAGTGAAGCCTTCTATATATACAGTCGAACCTGCAGTAACGGTCCCCTTAAATCACCTGTATAAAACGGAAACTTATCTAACGGGGAAGCGGAAAGAAAATTCTGCTCCCTTCCGAAGGTATTACATGTCTAAGATGTAAAATGCTGTGCCCACCCAGCCCTGATTTGAATCAAAACTATCAAAGTTGGCTGCATCGGTAGTCAAAACTTTATTTATGCCATGTCACCAGGGGAGCTGGGGTGCATTTTGGGGGCAGATGTTACCCTATCCTCGTGAGCCCCCAGCAGAGCAGATGATCAGGGTGGTGCTGGTGTTAAATTTCTCTACTACGCCAAAGGCGTGAAATTAGTTTCACCAATGCCTGTCGCCCTGATCGAAGGGCCAGCTGAGGAAAGAGTTCCCTGAATCGTTGTTACATGATGCAAAGGAAGGGTGGCGTTGTTTGACGGTGCTTATACCAATCATGGGTGGGACTAAAGGTCGAAGCAAAGGAAAAGTTCAAGTGTTACCATTATTATAAAGGTCAAACAGTGGTCCTTGGAAAATTCAAGCAATAGTCACGACGGATAAGCAGGACTGACGCATGCCATAATCAGATTCGGTAGCACTCAAAGAGGTGTGAAGTTCTGACCACTCTTTCCCGACCAGACAAGCGACCCTAAAACGGAATTTTTTCTGCCCCCCCCCTTCTTACACAGGTTCGACTGTAATTAAAACCTCACTACAACAATCAAGATGCCACACAGCAACTGCAGTTGTGTCAGGTCTATGTCATGTGCCAAATTTTTACACTGCTGCCCCTGGCAAATGGAGTTCAGCTACCATATTCAAGCAGTTTGTTTCAGTGTAATTATCTAACGGAGTGCTTATAGGCCCACAGGGGCATATACAATTTCCCCTAGAACATTTATTATTGGGAGTGTATACAGACCCAGTAACCGGGAACAAAGTCACAAAGTATACAGACCCGGTAGGGGAACTCTTTTGTGATTTCGGAAATTTTCAAAGCCCTCTTGGCTCAGGGTAGAACTAGGCTCTTCTAGATCTATGAGCTGGGTCTAGATCTAGACAGACAGATATAAATCATTGATCTAGTTTCGAGGCTAGCCTAGATCTAGATCTAAACGAAGATTGTGGATGCCTTTTCGATGAACGATCGTTTTTCCTCCGTTTTGAAGTTGTAGGAATCACAATTTGAAGCAGTGAACAATGTCATAATTTCAATCGAGAAGTCACCATCTCTATTTCTCTTTCTCTCTATCCTCTGTCGCTGTACGTATCGCTCGCATTCTTCTTTTCTTTGTTTGTCTCTGTCTTTCTTTCTCCCCACCTATTTCCTACTGCATAACAATAACAATGAACTGCAGGAACACACTGACAAACAATCAAATCTGTAGAAATATGAACGAGATGGAATACCTTAGGTTAGGAAAACATTAACAAGAAGGGATAAAGTGAGAAAATAAAAGAGAACAAGTTGGGACAACACCACGTATGAAATACATTGAAAAAACAACGCATTAAATGGCCCATGTGGGCCAATAACTTTCAATAAGAGCAGTCATTATCTAATTCTAGATTTCTACCTCCAAAATAATTCTTTCAAACTTTTGTGAAACCAGATGACCGATTCATGCTTAAAAAATCAGAAATATGTACTTAATAACTAATGCAATTCAGGGTATTATAATTTTTCTTCCATAAACTGTGCACCTAATAAGTGTGTGAGCAAAAGCAACTCATCATACACACAAAATCATTTACCATGGGACAACTTACCAGTCTTTTCACCCTAACTTTTCTTTCACCTCCATTTTTGTCGCCACCAATTTTCTTGGTGACGAACTCCTGGGCCGGCTTTGGGGATGGCATCTGCAAAGAGAAAAAATGATCACTTACTTTGATTCACATGGACAATGTAAACATTTTCTAAAGTAGATACCAATGCCACAAAAATGTTATAGATAGTGTGTATTTCCATGACGCTAGAAGTCTCTAGGACTAAGATCGAAGTCGCTAGATCTAGATCTAGATGTACCCTACAGCAATTTCAAAATATTTACTGAAAGTTACTGTGCTGTTAGATCTAGAATCAGAATTCAATGTGACAAATACAATACTCCTTGAGTAGGCTATTGCATACAGACAGACGTATCTCAAAAAAAGTGACTCAGGCCCACGTCTGCAGGCTTACGCGTACTGTTGGTGTAGGAGCCCCTGCCCTAATTTTGAAAAACTTATGGGGACATTCCCTGCCTGCTCTTTCAAGTTTCAAATAAAACATTATTACATTGAGGCCAAGGAAAATATCGGCAATCCTCCAGTTTTGGCCCAAGAAGTCAAGAAGAGAGGCTGGATCAGTCATGTCACCACTGACAAAAACTTTAATATTGGAGTATAATTTGGCCCCAATGTTTTAATTGAAAATTGGAAGAGCGAGAGGGGTCCTGTCTGCTGTTCTTTCGCAAAACAGTTTTGTACGTAACGAGTATGAAGTTTCACGAGGAACCGCCAATACCAGTCATCTGACTTCATGTTTCTCAGGTGCGGAAGAATTCCACAACAAGCGACCAGTCTATAAAAGGCAGTGGGTTAGAAGTAGGGTCCGGATTAGGTCTCTTCTTTATTGTGTTTGTTGTGGCGGTTGTCATGTTTTGTTAACAAAATAAGAAATGTTTGATAGATTATGATTGATTATCCCGTTGAGGAACCGACACAAGCAGGCGAGAGAGGTAAACAAATTGAGAACGAAAGAGGTGCCCGCACGCAATCGAAATTTTAAACGACTTGGGAGAACATAAACCATCATAAATGCATTGTAAAGGTAGTTGCATGTAATCACCATAGAATAAAAGTAGCAGTAGACGTCGATAGCTAAAATATAAAACAGATTATGAATAGATTGTAAGCAAGTCTTCAAATATCAAACCTGTACCTTGTATATAGCCAAGTAAAAGGAAGTTCCGGTGGGCTGTTGCAAAACATGTGCATCACCTCTTGGGCTCAAAAGAAAAAGAAAAAAATATTAGATCATTGTAAATTTTTTTAATATCACAAAATACAATGTGTTAAAAATTATTTCGCTTGAACACAAGTTCTTAAAATGTGGGAATATATTTTTTAAAAACTTTCTTGCATAACATTGTTCTAGTCCTTTCGCCGGTGAAGCTATAGGTGGTGTTTTTTTACAGAAACATCAAAACATTTTTAAAAATTGAGATCCACAACAAAGCTACTGAAACGAAATATATTTGTTATGAGAAATGTGAGGGAACAAATTCGCAGTTGTTGTTACATTTACACATTAAAATCTAGATCTAGATATAGATCTAGACCTAGATTCTAGATTAGATCTACTTGAAAGGTTTGTTGATCTAGATCTAGGACACTTTGGGTTTATCTGTTGAAGCGATTGAAGAGGCTAAATTTAGGGCTAGATCTAGATCTAGATCTAGCCAACGTCATTACGCGTTTCATCCCTGACCATTAGACTAGATCTAGATAAATCTAGATCTAGATCTATATAGGCTATATCTAGATTCTAGATCTAGATCTAGAATCTAGATCTATATATGATGATGGACATATGATGATATTCCAACTTGACCAACACTCAACAATCCAACAAAGACAAAAATTTTGAAAAAGTTTGTTTGCATTCTTACTTGACTTTACTTTAGGCTAAAATTCTAGAGATCTAATCTAGATTCTAGACTTGGATCTAGATCTAGATCTAGATCTAGCTAGATCTAGATCTACCTTGCTTGAACTAGTGGAAGTAAGCAAATTTATTATTTTTATTTAGCATTTTAGCCATGTGAACAAACCAACTTTATCAATATATTACTTTTAATTAGTAATTGGCCTAGCGTTCATTCTTAATCTTTACACAGTAGGCTACCAGTCTTTGAAAGTCTTAGACTTTTGCACTTTGGCTGGTCTTTGGGCTTGGGAGATTTACATCACTTCAATTTTCTTATCGAGTTGAGATGATGCCTGTCGCAGAGGATTTTGAAGGTGAGTTATTAGAAAAGGACATGCGACTAAACTAAATTAACTAAATGTAGAACAACACAAACTATTTTTAGTTAAGGCGGCCATCTTTTGTGACGTCAGACCGGGATACCCCTACGATCATCTGAATACATGATCTAAGCATAGCCAACCGCACGGCACCAAAGTTTGTGTATATACCTACCGTGGCACGACGTTTGGTCCGATGTTTTTCAAAGAGATGTACCGGTAATGTGATATGATGCGGTGCTCTGATGATGCTGCTGCTTATTCTGCGCATTGTTTATCGGGCCCGGGGGGGGGGGGGGTAATCTCCGGCGTCATTACAGCAATTTTCACGCACTTTATTGTCTTTGCGTTTAAAAATGTTTCAATTTCAAGCATCAGCATATTCTTACTGTTCTGAGCATTAAAGATCTGCAGTGGCTATTTTTACGGCGAGCCGTAAAGATAGCCTCCCAGGCTATTTTTACAGCGTGCCGTAAAGATAGCCTCCCAGTGAGTCCCAGGCTATTTTTACGGCGATCCTTGAAAAGCGACCCTACTCCGCCTCTCAAGTAAGCGACATGCCTCAATGTATTAGATCTAGGCCTATAGGGGCCGTTCAAAATATAAACTTACACCTCAGAGGGGAAAGGGTGTCTTTGGCTTCTGTAAGAAAAGTGTAAGATTGGGTGGGGAGGTTAACCAAATATGACACTTCTGTGAGATGAACGTTTTGCTCATGACTCTTGACAAGGCAATAGGTACGTGCCTTACAAATAAAAGACATCAAGACACTAAAAGATCAACAAAACAGTTGCAAAGTTACAAAGAAACATTAAGAAATTAGATGTCCACCTACAGAATTTTCATCATAATTTCAAAATTATTTGTAACCCCCCCCCCCCCTCTCCAAAAAACAAAACAAAACAAAAAAACAACAACAACGGGGATCTGCAGTGATCATGCAGATCTGGGTCTTGTTACTGGCATTTATCCACTTTTTCTTTTACCTTTTCTTCCCAGTCATGAGCAAAACGTTCATCTCACTTCCCCACCCAATCTTCCACTTTTCTTACAGAAGCCAAAGACACCCTTTCCCCTCTGAGGTGTAAGTTTATATTTTGAACGGCCCCTATAGGCCTAGATCTAATACATTGAAGCATGTCGCGTACATGAGAGGCGGAGTAGGGTCGCTTTTCAAGGATCGCTGTAAAAATAGCCTGGGACTCACTGGGAGGCTATCTTTACGGCACGCCGTAAAAATAGCCACTGCGTTAACGATCTTAGCGATCCATCACCAGAGCATGGCTGACGTGCTGTAGTTAGCAGCAAGTGTGAAATTTTATCATGCGAAACACATCGATACGGATAATAAGTCAAGCCACTGATCCAACATGTCGTTCCATGCGATATCTCCAAAGATCGTGTAGTGTAGTAGATAAACTTTGGTATCTCCGCGGTCTTCTAAAAATAGTCTTTGTGTATCCCAGGATGTGATGACATCACATTACTAAAAAAGCAGCTAATCAGGCAGGTGCGTCGTTCTACGTTTAGCCGCATATGTGTTATTAGGCCTATTCAAATTGTCCTGTGATTATTATATTTCTTTTTTTTTTTTTTATCTCAACACATCAATGCAATGGTGATGATGATCTGATCTGTTTTCTAGATCTTGATAATTGATATTTATTTTGATATACATGGGTGTCGAATAGGAGCCTGCTATACTATAACTAGTCTAGAAAACAATTTTTGAAGTAAGCCTCTATCTATTTGTGAGGCATCGTGGTGAAAACAAACACTCGTCAAAATAATGAAATGAAATCACAGAAATTTTGTACCCCGGGGTTGTATTCTTCAGATTATAGAATACTTCTAGTGCGAAGATCTCTTTGAAATCAAAAAATCATTTTGACAGACTGCTATGCAAAGAATATGGATCGGATTAACGAGGGTAAATTTCCTCTTTGGAAAGTGGTGGCGCAGAGTTCCCCATGTTCTATGGACACATTAGTAAAACATGATGTACGGATAGGATTAATTAATATACACATATCTGAAATGTGACTGGGCTGTGTGGTGATGTGTAAAAAGGATGTTCTGTGGTTAACTACATTTTTCTGTTATGTGTTAATTGTTTTTAACAACAATTGCTGTTGCAGATGAATTTCCAGAAGCACACATTGACTACAAGCAGAAGTACAAAGCTCTCAAGAAAAAGCTCCGGTTACTAGTTTATGTAAGTTGTATTAAACCTTAGTCCTGCTGTAAATACTTTTCTATTTTTATGAAAAACTGTTGATTGCTAAAAAAAAAAAATGGATCATTGTCATTGATTTTATGCTGTCCTAAGTTAGAACCCACATGATAACATAGGCATTTGAGCATTTCAATGTCTGTCCCACCAGTCTTGCTTTTGCCTACTTGTGTACTTGCCAGCCAAGTTTTACGCAAGATGTATTATGGTTATATGATAAAGCATTGACAGGCTGTTTTTGTTTCTCTTATATATAGCACTATTAGTTTTTGCACAATAATGGGGCCAACATCTCACCCCCGGGGCGGTGCTACTGACTGAAGTGTCTTTAGCCATTCTCAAAGGGGGGACATTAACATCTTGAGTTCTTATGCACAGCAGAATTGTATTTGTAAATGGGTTGATTCTTCATTGTCATGCTCATAAGTGTGCCTGAACTGCAACAGGGAACTGCTGCTTTTTCTTTCTTAATCCTTACTATCGTCATTTTTCCTCTACTTCTTTTGTATGTTTGTCACACTCTTGTGATCCGCTATTTCCGGGGTGCCTTGAAAGTTGAAGCAGACTTTGTGTTGTTGAAACTAGAGACCTGAGCAGAGTAAGTCTGGGTCCCTGTAAAGACTTCTCTGTTGACATCCATCCCTTGGCGCTCATATGACCTTATAATGCACTTGCGAGCACCGTAAAACCCCTACCAAAACTAAAAAACTAAAGGTCAGCATCTTGCCCCTTTCTTTTCTCCTGTATATTGAATGAGGTTGGTCGGTTGGTTCACCATGCAGACATAATGTACTTCGAATGGGAGAAAGATATTAAAAGTTATAGTGGATGATAGAAGCTGTATTTCCTTGATGTTCACAAGCAGGCAAAGGGGCTATATTTTTCAAGAAGTGTGAATCGCACTACTGTGTGTAAGTTGCCTTTTTTTTTTACCTATTTCAAATCTCATTAAAGCATTTTCAAAATGTAGATTTATTTTCAAATATTTGTCACCTTTTTTTGTGTGTACAACAGGAGCAGGAATGCTTTCTTGAAGAGCTTCGCAAGGCACAGAGAAAGCTTCTGAAGGTGTCCCGAGACAGGAGGTACTTTTTCTTTTTTTGATATACTCAATTAATTGGTCGCTTTTAAACACAAGGGGGCTATCCCGAAAAATGCTGTTTTGAGAAAATCGAAGGTAAAGTATTTGCCCCTTGTTCAGTTTCTTTAAAAGACAAGGAGAGTTTTCTCTATAACATCATACAAATATACTCACCAATGAAACCAAACTTCTCCTATGGGTAGGGAAATGCCCACTTTTGGTGTAGGTCAAGATTTTTGGAAACCCCGGAAATCTGGGTTTGCCCGCTTGTCCTTAAAAGTGACCAGTTGTTGGTTAGAGAAGCTGTAATTGGTCCAGAGTATTCAGTTCCTTCAAGAGTAGTCTACATGACAGTTTGTATTGAGCTCCTGTCAATGTCCTCTTGACAATCACATGTTACGTCCTGTTGGTCCTGACTTTGGGCATGTGGAAATTTGAGTGTCCAACTTTATGATAGGTATTTTTGTGCAAAAATCAATACTTAACTCTTTAAGCGCTGAGTTTTTTCCACCGTTTCCAGGAGTTTTTTTCTACAGTCAACTACCTGGTGCACTATGTCTCATTATAACTGCAAAAGCTTGCCTCCAACTTCTAAATAGCGGAAACAAAGGCTTAGTCATTACTATGTACTAAAAAACTTGGTTGGGGAATAGTTCCAAAAAACAAGCAAAAACTAGCACTAAATAAAACGAAACAGTTGTCACTAGCGTCCGGTGGGGTTCAAAGAGTTAAAACTTAAATGGAATTAATTATTCATCTCCAGGACTTTTTTTTCATGAGTATGTCCTCTAGAAAATGAATGGAACTCTGAGGAAAATTGGTTTGTGCGTACAATATATGATTTCTATGTACAATTTCATTTTTTCCTTGAGTATATATAGCATGGTTACTGTTATTTTAGAATCAGACTTTAATTTCAAGCACAGTTGAACCTGCCATAAATCTGTTTAAGATGGAAGCCTGTCATTACAGAATTTTTCTGCTCCTCTGGGTAGCCAGAGGTGTGAAATTTGACCACTTTTTGCCACCCTGATCATATGCAATCAGCTGAGAAAAAAATTCATTGTTGTAAATGCAAGGGAGAGGTGGCATTGGTTGATTGTGTTTATTGCAACGATGGGTGGGACTTTGTGTGGAAACAAAGGAGACGTTCAATCTTTTCTGCTTTTGACCCTATCTGTACGTCGTGTTTTACTATGGTATCCAAACGACGTGGGGAACTCTATGCCACCACTTTCCAAAGAGGAAGTTTACTCGTTAATCCGATCCGTTATGCTTTGCATAGCAGTCTGTCAAAATGATTTTTTGAGAAATACTGAAAGTTTCAAAGAGATCTTCACACTAGAAGTATTCTAAAATGTGAAGAATACAACCTGGGGGGGGGGGGGGGGGGGATGGAATGACCCCAGGACGTACGGATAGGATTAATTGGCTTTTAACAGTGGTCCTAATGAGATACAAGCAGTGGTAGCTATGGATTAGTAAGACTTACGCGGCTAGGATAGTACTTGGGAGGTGTGAACATTTGACCACTGCTTGTGGACGGTACAGGCGACCTTTGATCCCACTCCGAAGAGCTGGTCTTCTGGGACCCCTTCTCCCCATATTCTCTGGCCAAGACGGAAAATGTCTAAAAGACTGAATATCTTACTGGCTCCCTTGTGATTTCATCCTGGACAGGTTGGACTTTAGGCTTATACAGTTCTGTTATATTTATTTGACAGGCAGAGACACATGCATGTCATTGCAAAACAGTTAAAAATTTTGCTATACAAATGCTATTTCGTGATTTTCGTGTTCGAGATTCGTGGACTCTACTGTAAATGCAGTCTGTTCCTTTCCATTGCGGGACTTTATTTCAGCGGCTGTTCCTTCCTCTCTGTTATTCGTTTTATTATTATTATTAGTGGGTGGTTGGCGGGTGCTCTCAGTCTGGTGTGGTTTGCTTCTTCTTTCCTTTGAAACATTTATCGTCCTTATCTTTCCTTCTTCTTTTTTATGTTTGTTACTCTCTTGTAACACCTCTAATCTTCTGGCGCTCATATGACCTTATGCAGTTGCGAACGCCGTAATACCTCTACTAAAATAAACATATAATTATTATTGGTTCCTGCTCTAACCTCTATTGTTTCAGTTTTCTGCTGGACCGGCTGTTACAGCAGGAGAAAATCGAGGACTCGTCGGAAGAGTCTGATGCGACAAACTCCACAGACACGGAGGAGGGAGGTCACAGGGAGGCCGGGCCCGCCAAAAAGTAAGTTTATGCTCTGTTTGGTTTACTTTCAGCAACCAAAGTTCATTTTTTTTTTTTTTTGGTTCAGGGTTCCTGCGGCCTCCTTGAATTCAAGGAGTCCTTAAAAACTCCTTGAATTTGCAATCAAAGAAAAATCTCCTTGAAAACTCCTTGAATTTGTAATCAAAGAAAAATCTCCTTGAAAACTCCTTGAATATGAGGAACCTCCTAGCCTCCATAGGCACTGTTTTTTGTGTCTGTTGGTGGGTACTCTTACCAAGTTTGACCTAAGCTACTGGTGCGAATATGTGAGGCATCGTGGTGAAATCAGGCGCTCGTCAAAGTAATAAAATTGAAGAAACTAGCATTTTTCCTCCAGTTTGTGGTAATATTTATCACATATTTGTTTTTTGGCTAAACATCTTTTATGTCCAAATAAAAACAAATTGTCGTGTTAATTTTGCTGAAAAAGCATTGAATAATGGCACAAAATATGTAAATTTTCAGCTTTAAAGGACTCTCAAGCTATAAGAGTTACCAAACTTTGGCCTCCATTTTCTCGCTAATTTTACCTCTGGAACCAGCCTACCCCTATCCCCCTTAATTGCAAATACCTTGGCTTCTGTTCAAGATAGATAGGGATTTTTTTTCATAGAAAGCAAGGCAAATGAATAAACTTTCAGATGACACTTCTAACTCCACATGCTCAAAAATTGACGAGCGCCTGATTCCACCATGTCGTGACACATGTGCAGTTGAGCTGTCATGAGCACGTGACACATGTACACTTGAGCTGTCATGAGCAGAAACTTTTCCCTGTCGCCCTGGTGTTCTACAACCTCTCTTGATGCTCAAGACCAGTTCCAGAGGCCTCTCTCATTCTCCTATCAGGAAAAGCTTTTTTCCCCCGATAATATTTACAGAAAAGTTGAGGGGTGGGGTGGGGGGGATGGGAAGACATGGAATAATTGGAACAACATCGCAAGACGCTACCCAGGATAGAGAAAGGTGGAAAGTGTTTGTTCGTGGCCTATACCCTGGTGCAGGGTGAGAAAGGCAATGATGAATGTTTGCTATTTTAGGGAGGGGAGGGATTTGAGTAATGAGAGAACTTTAATGAGGTATGTATCTGATCCAGAGCTGTAATATATCTATCTATAAATATAGTAAAACTGATAAATGCAACAGGGATTTTTCAACATATCACTCTTTGTTTACAAGAGTGCGGAAGTTTATTTTGTTAAAAAGGTTGATCGAGTCGCTCGGGGCATCTGTAAATTTGTTATTATTATAAATTTGTACATTTTACTCTCATTTGTTTTTTAATTTCTGAAGGCGGAAGTTGGCAGCAGCAAGCACGGGTTCTACAGAAGCAACACACGTCCCACCGACCGCGGCCAAGCACCAAGTGGTGAGTGTACTAACGTGGAATTGGATCATTTGTTTTCTGGGGTTGAGAGGGCTCTTGTGGTGTTGGCCTCTCATTCAAAGGTCACGGGGTTCGAATCCAGATAACGACTGAAAAATTTTCTTCTCTAAAATTATTGTCTTCTTTCAATTCCGTTCCTACTCTCTAGCAATGTTCTGTCGTCTGCTTTCGTCTCCTCTTTCTGCCCCCACCCCTCACCTCCTTTGCCCCCTCCTCTAGGCTCCTGACTCTTTCTACTGCCACTCCTTGGGTCCTTCTTACTCCTGTCTTTCAGCCACACCCCTGGTCTTCTGGTAGGAAAGATCTACACCTAGCCTTCTTGGACAAGGGCGAAAAGTTTGGGAGGGCCTGTGTGCAAATTTCGCACATTAAAGATCCCCTGGTGTTTTAAATCGATAAGAGTAGGCTTCGGCTGCCACCCGAGCAAAATTCAAAATTTCCTACCAACTGATAAAGTTTAATGTGTCCCGCACGCTCATATGACCTTATGCTGTTGTGAGCGCCGTAAAACACTTACATTCTACCAAACAAAAATGTACCGGGGTTGTAACGTTACTCTGAAATGAATTTAATGTGAGCATAAAGAGTGTAGAAGATTTATATTCTTTAAATGTACTGAGTACTCTGGGGGTTAGAGTACAAACACACATACATACACTCTCTCTCTCTATCTCTCTCTCCCTTTTTCCCTCTCTCTCTGTCTATCTGTCGCTCTCTTTGTCTGTCTCTCTCTCTCTTTCTCTCTTTCTCTCACTTTCACTTCCAGACACTCGCATTCTTTTGCCTTCTTTTTTTCTTCAGATTCATCCACACTTTCTTTGCGTCATAAACACAGACGTAAAACCTCTTAAAGAAGGTTACAATTTATCCAAACTTTTGTTTCTTTTCATGCCGGGATTACCTTTTGATGGCCTGGTTGACCAGTGTTGTGGTGTAGGGGTTAGACACTTCATTGTTGCACATAGGAGACCCGAGTTTGATATCGGAGTGGGGAGAGTTTTTTGAGTACTTTGGTCTTTCTGCTGGAATGTTTTATCCCTTCTCAGCCCGCCTCTTAAATGATCTAAACTGTGTCGATATGAGGGTAAAAAATACTTTCAATATTTTTATTTAAAAAAGAAAAGCATAAGTGAAATAGTCCCACCTTTTAAATACAGCTCGATAACAACTACAGTAGGCCTACCTCTGTTTTTGTGGTTACGCTACCACACTCGTAATCGTGAGGTTGCGGGATCGAGGGTTCGAGCCAAGGGCCCGACTTTGTGTCCTTGGGAAAAGTGCTCTGCACGAATTTTCCTCACTTCACGCGGGTGAGAATGGGTACCAGGCCATAGACAGCGAAAGATCTTGTCAGTGTATTAGTGTTTTAGCGATTCTGATCTGTGGATCCTTTTGTGGTAACCGGACTTCCTTCGTGCGTTTATAAAAATATTTTCATGACACTGTCCAAGATGTCCGCCTGTCTGTGACCTCTTTTCTCCTCGGCACTAGGTGCCCGTCTCTGGCAATTTTGACTGTAAACCTATATGTATCTGTCCCCGTGGTTTTATGCACCTCGCATAATTTAGCAAAATTTGATAATTTTTTTTGCATAATTTCTTATTATTTTCCTTTATCATTCTTTGTTAAAATTAACAAAATCGCATAATTTCACATTTTTGGGCTCAGTTTGCATAATTTCAGAATTTTTCATGTATAAAACGACGGGGACAGATGTATATGTGTTACGACGCGGTGGAATCTTGGTGTGAAATAGTCCTCCTTGATTGCGTTAAATGACACTGTGATGTGATTTTTCTTATTCTGCAGCAAGGAGCCGGGACGTCGGAGCCTCAGGCCAGCAAGAAAAAGAGCAAGACGTCGGGAAAGAAAAGCAGCAAATCCAGTAAGTTATCCTCCCGTCGCCAATATCTTGTTTTTGTCGTATTATTTTTGATAAAATTGAAATGTCTCTTGAATGTCAATAATTTTTTAGATATTTGTTTTTCTTTCGTTCCATTGAAAGATCTGTCCTGGTGTGAGAAAAGTGTGTTTTCGACTCCTCTTTTCAAAAAATTTTCTCATTTTGTATGTGGGTGGTTGGCGGGTGCTCTGGTGTGGTTTGCTTCTTCTTTCCTTTCAAACATCTTTCGTCTTGATTTCCCCTCCTTCTTTTTTGTGTTTGTTACTCTCTTGTAACACCTCTAATCTTCGGCACTTATATGACCTTATTGTGTTGCAAGTGCCATTAAAACACTTACTTAAGCTAATCATTTTGTATGTTTTTCTCTTGGTGAAGGTCAGACTCAAATGGTAGTTTAACACTATGATTAAGGCAAAATCCTAATTAGAAAGGTGTTCGGTTTTTGTTTGTTCTGAATTTTGGTCTTGTGTACAACCTGAGTAGAAGAGAACAAGTCATGGCTGTCGCCTTCAAACACAACACATCCCATTGAATTCCTACCTAAATAGGATCCACAAGGATACCCCACCATTGGTGGTTGGCGGGTGCTCTGGTGTGGTTTGCTCCTTCTTTCCTATATCAAACATCTATTGTCCTTATCTCTGCTCCTTCTTTTTTTGTGTTTGTTACTTTCTTGTAACCCCTCTAATCTTCGGCACTTATATGACCTTATTGTGTTGCAAGTGTCGTAAAACACTTACTAAAACTAAAAACTAGACTAAAAAAGTCCTTAACCAAAAGGCCATGAGCACTCTTTGTTTCGTGCCGGATTCTCACAAATCTTTCCTGTCCCCCCCCCCCCCCCCGTCTGTAGGTGGTCAGAAATCCAGCTCAGTGAAACTAGAGTCCCCGGGACATATGACACGGGAAGAGCTGGAGCGTCATTTGGAGTCCAAGCAGCATGAGTTCAGTATTGAGAAGGCCACAGCCTCACTGCCCATGGAGATCTTCAGCAACGATACAAACCACGACAGGTAAGGGGACGATCAAATATAATCTTACGGCTTAAAGGGGGGGGGGGTGTCTGGCTCCTTTAAGAAAAATGTAAGAAAGAGGGGAGGGGAGGGGGGGCTTGAACCAATGTAACATTACATTTTTTTTTCGTTCCCGAGGTGTTGACTTTATAGGAATTCCACTGTAATTTGTTTTATTTGTAATTAAGTCGCTTTTGACATTAACATGAGTCTCAATTTTTTTCCTTATATAGTAAGAAAGAGTGTATGCACTATTTTGCTTGAATGATTTACTGTTATTTTTTAGTGAATGCAGAATTGCATATATTATTTTGTGCCTGTATGTGTGTATGCATGTTTTTCATGAATATCATGTAAAGCCCAGAGAACAATGATAGTAACACAGATTTGCGTGATGTAAATGTCATATTATTATTAAATTTTTCTTGTTTCAGCATTTGTGGTTGGCGGGTGCTCTGGTGTGGTTTGCTTCTTCTTTCCTATCAAATGTCTATCGTCCTTATCTCCCCTCCTTCATTTTTATGTTTGTAACACCTCTAACACTGTTCTTCTGGCACTCTTATGACCTTATGCAGTTGCGAACGCCGTAAAACATCTACTAAAACAAAACAAAACACTTACTAAAATTTAAAATTATGCAATACCGTAGAGAAAATAAGAGTTCTTGTTTTTATGATGTGCTCTGATGTAACTGAGAAACGTTTTTTTTTTTTCCTTTCGGCAGTGATGGTGGTGCTGAGGCTGGCGGGGAAGAAGAGGAAGACGACCTCGTTATCGACGTTCCACACTAGCAGCGTCATTCACGACTTGTTTTCTTACGAGATTCATTGTTTTATTTATCATTATGCCATTTGTACACTTTTTCATTTTGACATTTATTTACATATCTGACCAGGTCAGTGTCTTTCTGGGTCATCTATAATGGAAGTTGAGAAAGAGGGGAAAAGGGATGGATATGAAACCTAGTCTTCTTAGTAGCCAAAAGGAGAAACTGAAGGGAAAAAAATGATTTCAGTGTTGTATTGTTGTTTGACCGATAATTAATGTTCACCTAATTGCGGTTGAGTTTTCTTGTAGTTTTTTTTTTTTTTTTTACTTTGTTTAAAATTGTGTTTTGAATAAACAAGGGGGTCATTATCGCATATTGTGCGTCTTTATGGGGTACATGACTACACTGCCGTAAACTGACAAAACGCCTTTTTTTCATTTTGGTGCCAAAATTTTTAATTTGCTAAATCAAAAGCCTGATCAGTCACCCTACTTGTGTGAAAAAATCAAAGTGAAACTGTGACAAGTTTTTAAAATAAATTTGAATTCAAATTTCGAAAGAACTTTATTATACAATGGTTACTCTGACAAAGAACCTCTTTATCTTGAAACTGCTGTGAATACAAAAAAGGGCGTTTTCGTCAGCTTATGGCAGTACAGGTAAACACGATTATTTTCTTCTAGGTTCACAGCATATGTAACCTACAGAGCATTTTGACTGAGGTTCATGACTGGACTTTGCAATTTTGTGTTTTCCTAGAATTTTGTGTTTTCCTAGAATTTTGTAAACTTCTTGTTGAAAGGGACTGATGACTCAATGACTGTTGATAGCCATTACACTTTTCATTATTAAAATGTGCTCTGTAAGGCCAAACTTTGTTTCTATTGTTGGTTAATGGTGAGCACTCTCAGTGAAATTTCTTTTGAGTTCTTTTTTCTCGCTTTGGTGAGCGAGAACTCTTTCTGATCTTTGCCCTCCACTTACGTGTGTTTTCATCATTTTATAACAAATCATTTTTGTATTCTGCAGCAGTTTCCCATCTCTTTGGTGGGTGGTTGGCGGGTGGTACTCTGGTGTGGTTTGCTCCTTCTTTCCTATCAAACATCTATCGTCCTTATCTCTTCTCCTTTTTTGTGTATGCTGTTACTCTCTTGTAGCACATCCATTTTTCGGCACTTATATGACCTTATTATTGTGTTGCAAGTGCCGTAAAACTCTTACTACAACTAAACTCATCTCTTTGTTCTTTTGTCTCATTTTTCGAACATGAGGTATCACAATTTGGGAACAACAAGATTAAAAACTGAAAATAGATGATCACGTGTTTTATGATTCCATTCTTTGTATCCGAGTTCCTGTATGCATATTTTTTTTCTTTCTCAGATTCCATGTGTGTGAAATTTATATTTGAAAAGTCACTGCAGAACTTATTAATTTCTAGTATGTTATTTGATCATTCCCGTATTTCTTAAACTGAAAACGTATTTTAAAATTCTTCTTCTCTTGGTTCAGGCCAGGGGTGAATTTTTGCTCACATTTGAAAAGTTTGCTGAGCAATTTCCCAGTATTTTCACGCTGACACACAAATCTCAGACTTGATTCTGTTGTTTCTTATGGTGTTATTATTATGTCTGAGACGAACAATAAACACTGCCATTTTGAATACTTTTTAATTAATTGTTGGTTCTTTATATATGAAGTCGGTAGGTGGTCGGCGGGTGCTCTAGTGTGGTTTGCTTCTTCTTTGCTATCAAACATCTATCGTCTTTATCTCCCCTCCATA